CATTACATTACATTAATTGATAAGCCTGAAACATGCACTTGTTAAGGTTCAGAGGCACATTTTGCAAATATGGCAGTAGCCATCGATCAGCTTAAGATAAGATATACTTTATTGATCTCAAGTTGGAACATTTGCATTACATCAGCATGTGTAACAGTTAAATATGCAGTGGTGTTTATTTGTAAATCATTTAGTATAATCACACAAATTCTGTGTTTTATATTCAACAATTCTGTGTTCTTTATTTATTGATTGTTCAATACCTGACAAGGTCGGAGATGAAATATCTACATACATCTTATAAGAGTATAATACATTATGTATAATATCAGTTAAAATAAGTGCTTCAACATAGTTAACATTGCTGGAGGTACGCACAAATATTGATAGATGTCTTGTAATGCACTATTGAGGAACCTGCGACCCAAGTTTTTCATTCAATGCATAACTACACCATAGTTGTGTAGGCCTATATGATATATCAATAAACCTTAGAAAATCTTGAAATCTTGAAAGGGATGTGCAAAATAGTCATTATATACAGTCTTTAATTAACTATTAGTAGAGAATAACGAGTAATTAATATACTTTATAGGGATCCTATTAATATCTAATAATAAAAATAATGAAATTCAATAACATGCTTTAACCACTAGGTGTCCCTTTATATCAGCTGTGCACCTTTATGGTGTAAATACAGCCTATCTACCAATTGGATCAAATATAAAAGTCAGCCGAATTAGTGTTGATACTGCAAGGAGACGTATTGTGTGAAAAGAAATGTAAGATGTTGTTTAATGGCTGATATATTTATGATCCACGTCACGTTTTCAGTTCCTCATGTTTGTCTAGAAGTCTTCTCATCAGGGCTATATAAATACAGAACTACGGCAGATATGTAATATTTAATGCAGCCGAACCGTGTATTACAATGCCGTTATGTGATGACTTCCAAAGAGAAAAGCAAGCACACTCGGAATAAAGTATTATTGTATTTTTTTTTAAATGTTTTCGGTCTGTTTCCGTTATTTGTTAATGACCATGTGCTGTGAGATGTGAGACTGGAATTGCACAGGGGGAAATAACGTAGGCTATCTTTAGATGCGGATTTTGTTAAACTAATATGTTTGCGCTGTGGACCAACACTATTCTTTCACACACAGTGACGTCACAGCTACCCACAATGCAACGCGCGCCATATATTTTTTTATAAAGACGCCATTTTTCTGGAGGTGCAAAAATCCTGCCGATGCTAATATAAACAGCTAGCTAATGTTGCCAGGCAGAGCGCACTAGGTTTTTTTTTCTGAATTAACGACCGAAGAAATCGCTGCATGTCTTCGGATTACATCTCTGGACTTGAGGGGTGTGCTCTAGGTCGTTACCAGCGTAAACTAGAGCTGCGTGGGTTGTTGGATGTACAATGTATGGAGTTACGACCCTCAAAAGTGGCCTTCGGTCGATTTTGGCAGCATCTACGTCTATCTTCTGGAAACACCAGGTGAATACCCCACTTGTCACAATAATATTATCATGCCATTGCATATATGTGGTATTTTAGAGTTGACTATATTGATTAAGGAATAGACTATGATATTCTGTATGCACCTCGTGTGAAATTGTTGATACCGGAAGTACGGTGTCGCCCTCGGCCCAAAACCCGTATGTGTGTGTGAAAGAATACATTGACGGGGAAGGGGGTAGCAATAAAGATAACACCATTAAACAGTTACACAACATAACAGAAATAATATCGATAGCAGCGTCCCTAGCAACCACCTTGGTAACAATGAAAACGTTATGGACGCAATTTCCTGAAGTAATCTTCGTAATAACTAGCAAACTAAAGATCATGTACATCCACTGCACACATAATCTGAAATAACAACTCATATTTCTCGCATCAAATGACATCAAAACGCATTTTAATGGCCAAACTAACTTTAAAATAGGCATTTTCCATCGAGAATAAAACGAAGTTCGGCCATGTTTTTTTTTTCTGCAGGGAGAAATTTGAAGATCACTTGACGTCAAACAGAGCACATGGTGTAGTCCAAACGATAGCTGGGGATTCTGGGTAGTGTAGTGTCTTCTGCCATCCTTTACTCCGAAAACATATTTGTTTCTCCGAATCGAAGGGGAAAAATACAAAAGCATTGCACACAATTTAAACCAATCAATGTTGTGTAATTAACAAGGATAATCTGGTGTTTTTTAGTCGATGAGTAGTGCAGATATTACTGTAAAATCAATCGACAGTAAGGGGAATACTTACTTCCGGGTGTACAATTCTCCGTTATCCAATGAGAATGGACGCTCACATTGCCTTTAAGGGCAGCCGACACAAACGAATGCCGTGCTTCCATGAGCGTCCATAGAAGCATATGGACATCCCGGAAAGCTGAAAATGGACGCTAAGGCCCCCCCCTTGCGTTGAAAATGGACGCTAAGGCCCCCCCCCTTGCGTTGGAAAAAGCCGACAGGGGACTTGACATAACGTCAACATAGGCCGACCTGGGAGTGAGGATGTGTTGGTTTATGCAGCACTGCACGTGGAGATGTGGTCTCGCAAGTCGCGCAGATTACATAGGCCTACATGTATATAAACCATAGACTGTAAACCTGCGGCGGAAACCCCTCTTGTCTGTCAGTGAGTGTGATTATTTTTATAAAAGTAACGAAGTAACGCGTGTCGGGGCAATGTTAGTAACGGCAGTGCGATTATCGAATTATAAAAGTAACGCGTTACACTACTTCGTTACCGACAAAGTACTATTATTACAGTAACGCGTTGCTTTGTAACGCGTTACACCCAACTCTGTTTGTTACACAAGCACATAGAAGCTGAACATTATATAAATACATTCAAATAAACAGTATAACTGGAGTACGGTGGCCCTGAAGTGCAAGACACCACAGCATTTCACAAAACGCCACAGCATTTAAGAAAACACAACAGCATTTCAGAAAACACCACAGCATTTCAGAAAACGCCACAGCATTTCACAAAACACCACAGCATTTCACAAAATACAACAGCATTTCACAAACACAACAGCATTTCACAAAACACCACAGCATTTAAGAAAACACAACAGCATTTCAGAAAACACCACAGCATTTCAGAAAACGCCACAGCATTTCACAAAACACTACAGCATTTCACAAAACGCCACAGCATTTCACAAAACACAACAGCATTTCAGAAAACACCACAGCATTTCACATTGGACGGAAAGGGTATTCCTTAGGGAGAACACTTCTTGTTTGTGATTGGACAGAGCCAGCCATAGAAGCACTGCTGTGATTGGTTGTTTTTGCTGCCAGTCAAGAAATGACGCTGCGTGATTGGCCCAACACATCAGCCGTTAGCACACACTCAGAGCTCACAGCTCCTCATATCTGTTCAGAAACTGGACAAAAGTTAAACATATACAAAACACAGACTGTCTATGTCATTTTGAATACAGTCACTACTTTATTTATGTCTGTATGTATGATGTTGTTGTGAGTGTGGACGGAGCAGCTACAGGTTAGTTTAGCCTGATCGATCCGATTCCGATAGGATTTACATGGAGATACGGCCCGCCCCCTCTCCAGCGTCTTGTTTGAATAACAGGAGTAAACACAGAATGAATGCTTTATTAATTCATGGTTTTTAAGGGGCTTATCTCCATGTAAATACTATGGTAGACCACCCAATATTCGCATCGCTCTAATCGCTCCAGTTTCACCGCGGCTGTCAGCTGTGTTTGCTCCTGTCATTCAAACAAGACGCGCTGGAGAGGGGACGGGAAGTATCTCCATGTAAATCCTATGGGAGATACCAACTACAACAAAATGAACATATTTGACCGTGATTTAATTGTAATACACGTTTCAAAGTGATGCCGATCGTAACTACATACTGATAACGGTTAGTAAAAACCATGAATTAACGCTTTGACAAGTCTGCAGATAAGACGGTAGGCGAAAAGCTTTCATACAGACATAAATAAAGCAGCAACTGTATTCGCCATGACATAGACAGTCTGTGGTTTGTACATGTTTAACTTGTGTCCAGTTTCTGAACAGATATGAGGAGCTGTGAGCTCTGAGTGTGTGCTAACGGCTGATGTGTTGGGACATATTTCGCTGTCGGATGTTGACCAATCACGAAGCGTCATTTCTTGACTGGCAGCAAAAACAACCAATCACAGCAGTGCTTCTCTGGCTGGCTCTGTCCAATCACAAACAAAGTGTTTCTCCCTAAAGGAATACCCTTTCCGTCCAATGTGAAATGCTGTGGTGTTTCTGAAATGCTGTGGTGTTTGCTGAAATGCTGTGGTGTTTTCTGAAATGCTGTTGTGTTTTCTGAAATGCTGTAGTGTTTTGTGAAATGCTGTGGTGTTTTCTGAAATACTGCGGCGTTTTCTGAAATGCTGTAATGTTTTGTGAAATGCTGTGGTGTTTTGTGAAATACTGTGTCGTTTTCTGAAATGCTGTAGTGTTTTGTGAAATGCTGTGGTGTCTTGCACTTCAGGGCCACCGTACTGGAGTAACTGATTCTGCCAAGACTTAATTGCCCTATTAGTCAACAATTTATCAAATTAGTGTTATTTATCGGACTACTTAGAAAGATAAAATGGAAGTCATAGATAATAATGTATATGATGACGACAGTAGCCAGTGAGACAGACAGCTCAGCATGTGCCAACAAACTGTAGTGTTTCCTATGAGTCATGAGGGCTGTGCAATGGACTTTTATCACTTCAGATATTTTAACAAGCACAGCTGTTATCACTAATACTAACGACGGCTGCACTTTGTTTATCTTTACCACCTTCATGGCCCTACTACTTTGTAACAGAGCCATTGATTATGTTAAGAATCACTCCTGGTTTCCATGTGCAGACAAATCAAAATGTTTGCCTTCGAAAAGACCCCAAAAAAGTTTGATGCAACCTGTTCCCATGTTTATTATTTATTTAATATTTGTCATGTCTCTGATCTCACTCTAGCTTTGGATACCAAAGGGAAGGTGTGGAGAGTGTTGGTGTCGGTGGGGAAGTTCATTCTGCTGCTGGGTTTCCTCTACATCTTCATCTGCTCTCTTGACGTCCTCAGCTCAGCTTTCCAGCTTGTTGGAGGTAAACACAGTAACACCTATCTTAAGCCACTTTTATATTTAGTTTAACTTAATTTAACCAGGTTTGTCCTATTGAGATTCAAGATCTCTTGTTACAATGGAGAGCTTAGAACAGCAGCAACTTCAACACAAAGTTTTAACGACACTCAAAATCACATAGATTTGAGTAACATCAAACACTTATAATGCATTTTCATTATATTCCATATAATTGTTTTATCATTGTTGTATTGATGTATTTTGCAAGGTTACTTACCTTTTTATTGTAACCTTGTCCAGAAAGAAGTCAATGATACTATTACTGTTTGAAGGAGGTAATATACACATACTCCTATGTTCTCCTTGCCCAGGTAAAGCAGCGGGGGACATCTTTCAGGACAACTCGGTGCTGTCCAATCCTCTGGCTGGTCTGGTCATCGGTGTCCTGGTCACCCTGCTGGTCCAGAGTTCATCCACTTCCTCCTCCATAGTGGTCAGCATGGTCTCTTCTGGACGTGAGTATGGACACACACACACACACACATACACACACACACACACACACACACACACACACACACACACACACACACACACACACACACACACACACACACACACACACACACACACACACACACACACACACACACACACACACACACACACACACTCTTAAGATTACCTTTGTTGCTTCGGCAGTGTTATCCGTCCGGCTGGCCGTTCCTATCATCATGGGCACCAACATCGGCACTTCTGTCACCAACACACTCGTCGCTATGACGCAGGCTGGTGACCGCAGCACCTTTCGCAGGTAATTGTTTTGTATTTGATGGATTGGTTCCTTTTACTGCCTTTCTCTGCAGTCAAAAAGCCCTCAACATGTTCAAGAACATTGTGTTCTTTATCTAATATCCTGTATTTAGCCTATAATTTATGATCATCAAATGTATCTGAAAAGTCACAAAATGTGGAGATTTCTATTATAAATAGTTTTACTTTCATGCTTTCTTACTAGATGACTTATTCCTGTACAGCAATAATATGTAATCCCATTAGAAAGATCAAAGGTCATCTCACTTTGCATTTATCTACCTCCTTTCACAATGTACCCAGGGCCTTTGCAGGGGCCACAGTTCACGACTTCTTCAACTGGCTCTCCGTGCTGGTGCTGCTGCCTCTTGAGATCGCCAGCGGATATTTGTACGAGGTCACGAAGCTCATCATCGACTCCTTCCAAATTGAGAGTGGAGAGGCCCCGGAGCTGTTAAATGTGATCACTGATATCGTCACTGAGTCAATTATACAGGTAAAATGTTTCGCATAATTTCTGATTATTGACATTCTGGACAAAATGTTATTAGGTAATTTAAGCTATCCTGTGGGATTAAAGAAACAATACATATTTTAATATAATAATTGTAAACTCCATTATCATTTTGAAATTGATATCCAGTTTGAATTTGAATAAGCAGCCGTTTTCATTTCATTTCAAACCTTTATTTATCCAGGTGAGTCCCTTGAGATCATTGATCTCTTTTTCAAGGGAGACCTGCTCAAGTAGGTTCCACATGAAACATAAAAACATAAAACAACAGAACAACAAAAAGGACATCATACAGCATCATTACAGGGATTACAATTTATCCACATGAACAGGTACCAACAGCATCCGATTGTGTAGCATCCAACCGAGCTTTAAAAACATTTAGTGGCACTAGATTGCTCAGTTTCCATTTCATTTGCAGACTGTTCCAAGACAGAGGAGCTGCGCATCTAAATGCTATCTTCCCTAAGCAGTAATGCTTTTGTTATGAGCTGTTGGAAGTGTCTGGAAATATCGTACAATCATTTTCATAATGTATACATTTGCAGAAAGTAGTGAAACACTCCTTCTAATTTCTCAAAGTCCAAGTTAATGTCTGTTAATGTGTTTTTTCAAGTCCAAGACTGAAATATATCTACTTTGTTATGGTATAAAATAAAGAAAAGAAGATAATTTCCATATTGGAGAGGCTGAAAACAGCCATTTTTACCAACAATTTATCAATTATAAAAAAAGCTTTGTGGACAATCTGTAACAGTATCATAGTTGGGCAGATACAGAAGTTATCTACTGTACGTGGTCCACTGAACCTCTCATAAACCAATCACATTATGTCAGTGTTGGGGAGGCAACTACTTAACACTTTAGGGATGTAACTACGCCATAGGGAGAAAACAAGTTTGGTTAACAAAGACTAAACAGTTCCTTACATTTCTTATTTGTCATGGTTTTGATCTACTTCTTTATTTTTCCCTTCAACCTAGTTGGACCAGTCCGTCATCAATGGGATTGCCACCGGAGACCCAGCAGCCAGGAATAAGAGTCTCATCAAGATATGGTGCCATACCTTCACCAATACAGTAAGACCAAAACATTTCAGCTCCATATCAAATATTCAAAAACATTTAGAAGATCAAAATCTTTATTGTCAAACTGCCAATTTGTTTCAGTCCTTAATGAACGTCACGGTTCCTGGTCCAGATAACTGCACGTCTCCGTCCCTGTGCTGGGTCGATGGCAACTACACCATCACACTGAAGAACGTTTCTGAAACGTGCAATCTCCAGAAATGTAAGAGCAGTTTTGACAGTATACACTCTATTTTCTGTAATCTCTCGATTAAATTAATGTATATTATTCTCACTGTGAAAAATTGGCTTAATTCTACATGACGTCGCAAACATGTTTAAACAAAGCACAGACACTACTGTTACTGTAAGATCATACATCTTTTAGTGAAACTTTTAAAATGTACTTACAATTGTATTGACCCCATTTCCACCAGCAGAAACAGATAAGGCATATCCTTAGAACACATAATTGTTGACAATGTTTTCTTGTTGTTGCAGTAGGCCATCAAAAAGACATACATGCAGCTTTAAAACATGAAGGATACCAGCCATCGCTGATGCATGTGTTTTTGTTTTTCCTCAGGTAAGCATATCTTTGTGAATGTGAATCTGCCGGACCTGGCGGTGGGTCTGATCCTGCTCGCTCTCTCTCTGCTGGTGCTCTGCTCCTGCCTGATACTCATCGTCAAGCTGCTCAACTCCATGCTGAAGGGACAGGTGGCCTCAGTCATCAAGAAGATCCTCAACACCGGTGAGTGGCAGCACCGCACACTCAAGTGCAGAGAAATGAATGGGAATGTGTTGGTTAGTAACACATGCATGTTGTGTGTCTGTTTGTGTGTGCAGATTTCCCATTTCCTTTCGGCTGGGTCACAGGTTACATTGCCATTTTTGTCGGAGCTGGAATGACATTCATTGTGCAGAGCAGCTCTGTTTTCACTTCTGCTATCACTCCACTTGTCGGTGAGGTCATTCATCCATTTCATTCATCTCTATTTGTGTTTTTCATTTTTTTTAAATGCTGTTTTTACTTACAATTCCTGTCAATCTTTTCTTCTTAGTGAAACAATCTACCTTGACTAACTGCTTTCCTGGTTATGCAGGGATGATGGTAGTTGAAGAGAGGGAGTGTAATTATGTGTTTTAATTCCTGTTTATTTGAATAGGTATTGGTGTCATCAGCATAGAGAGAGCATACCCATTGTCTCTGGGTTCAAATATTGGTACAACCACCACAGCCATCCTGGCAGCTATGGCTAGTCCTGGAGAGACACTGGCAAATTCTCTACATGTCAGTCACTTGCACAAGAAAACATGCACACATACACCACAAGTACATTTAAATATGTGTTGAATTTATTTTGCATTTTGGGAGATACAAGAACTATTAGGTAGAGGGAGCCTGTTTTCACAGAGTTTATGTTATTTCCAGATTGCCCTCGTACACTTCCTGTTCAACATCTCTGGCATCCTTCTGTGGTATCCAATCCCCTTCACCCGAATCCCTATCCGGCTGGCAAAAAGCCTGGGAAACATCACCGCCACCTACCGCTGGTTTGCTGCCGTCTACATCATCAGCTTCTTCTTCATTTTACCGCTCTTCATCTTCAGCCTGTCTCTGGCCGGCTGGAAGGTGATGGTGGGTGTGGGTGTTCCTCTGGTCGCCATGCTGATCCTCATCGTAGTGATTAACGTGCTGCAGAAAAGGAAACCCCGGTGCCTGCCTGCAGCCCTGCGATCCTGGGACTACCTCCCTCTGTGGGCCCACTCCCTGGAACCCTGGGACAAATTGGTTGGTGCTTTTATTGCAAAATGCTGTTGCTGCTGCAAATGCTGCCAGCTTGCTGTTGAAGGGGAAGAACACAAAGAGAAAGAGTGTGTGGAAAATAACAACAAATCACACATAGCAGTGTATGATAATCCTGCAATGAGTGCAGAGAAGGAGGTGGAAAATGAGTTCAATTTAGAGCTAAACATTCTGAAAAACACCCGGCTTTGAGATTTTAAATATATATTTGTGACTATGTGTATATAATGCAAATAAGTACATTAGGCATGGCACAAGGACCAAACACATCCTGGCAAAACTATTTTAAATGTATGTTATTAATTTAGTATAAAATGGTTTAATAAGGAATATCAGACAATAAAAGAAAAAGTGTTTTTCAGCTGCGAGAAGTAAGAATCAATTTCATGATTAAGATTTGTGAACAATAAGGAAAATATAATTTTCTATTGGCTTATTCTACATTATTTGGTTTTCTAACATTTTTGAAATACTTCTTTCATTTGATCAAATCATGACATTACTAAAATAATTCTATATAAATAAGGTATAGCGTATGTTATTTAATGTTAAGTTAAGTCAATAACGGGCTCATAACGAACTGTTATTTAAAAAAGCAAAGCAATGTAAAGGTTGTTTTTTATTCTATATTATTAAAATGTGAACACTCTGAGGATGCCATGGCCTTCCATACAGGAAATATAGTCGGTCAGAATAACATCTGCACAGAACCACAGGTTTTTACTGTGTATAAGACACACTGAGATCCTTATCACATCGTTTTAAGGTGTATAATAATTCAATTTAATTGAGACAGATAATCGTATTCAAGGAATATGTAGTTTGAAATTAAATGACTGTGCATCTGACTTAATGTTTGTAACTCTTTGTACTTAATATTGAGTTTATTGTTGTGTTGCAATAGTATCTATATGAACATGTAAAAATAAAATGTTAAAAAACTATACCTAATTGAATGTTTTTTCCCCTCAGCTGGCCGAAACCACTAGACTTATCATTTTAAATGTTCCCTCATTAGCTTGTGACGGCCAAACATTGATTTAAGGTGTTTCTTCTAAACTGTAGTGGCAGGGGAAAAGGTTTAAGGCATGTTGTTATTAAGCATATTTGTATAAGAACAAAGTCATATTTCAGTTCATGTGTATAATGACATCATCGCCTGAGTGTGAAAGAAACGTGGTTGTCACTGTCACTACCCGATCTGCAGCTCTGCCCGATCTGCTGTGCGCATGTGCGAGATGGTCCGCCATATTGGACAACGCCGGACGGCATCCCAAGTAGGACAAAATTGACATCTCGACCGTCTGAACCATTCGCAAGTTTTTACATGTGACAAAATATGCATTGCGCATTCGCGAGTTTTTACATGTGACAAACGGTGATTTGCAGAGTTTTTACATGTGACAAACGGTGATTTGCATTGCATCTGACATAATGAAGACTTTAGTGTTTTACAACAATTTGAGAGAATACATGTCTGAAGGTGAATTTCACACAGACCTCTCTAAAAATGAGCGAGATCAAATGCGCCGTGCGTCATCGAACTTTACAGTAAAAGGTAATTAATTCTCATTCTCCTGTTATTTTGTGTTGTGACTAACTGATCAGTTACTTAGCTCTGTCCCAAGTTTTGTATTGTATTTTTATTCTATTGTATTTGTATTGCCTTTCTAAATGAAATAATACTATACAAAAAAATATTTAATTCAATATTATAATATAATTTATTATTTTATTATTATTTATAATATAATAATTGTATTCCTGAATGACCCCTTTTTTATGTTTGTGTTTCTGTTTTTTTAATTAATCAAGCAAAATTAAAGGATAACAAACTCCAGTTATATAAATCCATACTGAATACATATTTACTGTGAATGTGTGCAAAAATGTATGGCATATAACTGTCTAACAGAAGTTAAATCAATTTCTCACTTATTCTGACAATGTACTTAACCCCAAATAAAAGAACCCAATAAAAATAATTGTTAAATAATAGTGAAGTCACGTTGTAATAACAATAACTCATCTCTCTCGAGTTTTATTTTTGAGCTTTGCCAACAGCCACTCTGTCAATATTGTCCTACTTGGGTTGCCGTCCAGAGTTGTCCAATATGGCGGACCATCTCGCACATGCGCACTGCAGATCGGGCAGAGCTGCAGATCGGGTAGTGACAGTGGTGATGCTAATGAGCATGCACAGAATGCATTGTGGGAGCGTTGCTTCGCTTTGCTCGCTTCAAAAGTTGAGCAATGTTCAACTTTTGAAGCTTTGGCGGAAGCGTCAGCCAATCAAATCATATGCCAGTACAAGCTCTAGCCCAGGGGTGGGGAACCTCCGGCCCCCGGGCCGTATACGGGCCGCGAGACCATTTGGTACGGCTCTCGAGATAATTTATAAACACACGCAAAAAAGAAAAAAATTAAAGAAATCTAGACTGCAAATAAATTAAACAAGAGAGTGCCTGTTTTTCCTGGCCAAGGTCAGGGTCCTTGAACACAACACGAGCCTAACGTGTCATCACGTGGTATATGTCTCGTCTGACAGGGGTGCAGTTCTGACAGAGAGTATGGAGTCAGATTTGGGTCAATATTCTAGCGCGCAAAACAAGCTACTCACGTGTGGAAAATGTGCTTTTACACGCGCATGAAATGACCCCCGCGCACAGATTAAACCCCCGCGAGTGGCTATGCGCTCGCTCAGAGACAGCCCTCTTGCTCGGGTGTCGTTTTTCTCATACTGATATTCTGAACAATCTGTGCTGTTGTATTTGCTGTAAAGTGTCTCTACTGTAGGCTATTTTTATTATATGTACAGCACTTTAGCTCGACCAAAAATCGTTTATAAATGTGCTATATAAATAAAACTTGATTTGATTTGATGTAGTGTTTGTAAAAGTATTACTATAGTGTTTTTGTTGGTGTTTCCGTATTAAGACTATATTATTTTAAATAGTACTACTATAGTAGCCTATAATATAGTGTTTCTGTAGTTGTTTTTTGAACACACTATAGAACACTCCTATAGTAATAGTATGATATTGTCATAATAAATGCATATTATTACTATAGTGTTTGTAAAAGTATTGCACTCCTAGAATTAATGTGTCATTTTTTTATATCAAATTAATTGATATATATAATAGCTGTACACTTTACGAATATAATAGTTTTTTATGGACAACTTTACGATTCAGTCTCGTCCAACTGATCTTGCAGCTGTCACTCCTCGGCTCATGGTAGTTCAGGCATTTATCAAACCTGGCAACTCCGGGCTTCCTTGCAGCTGTCAATCAAAGTCCAGTGGCTCCGCCCCAAAGTGTCAGAAACTTTTCACGCGCGCGTAGACAGACTCTGCGAGCAAGTGAGGCTCACACTCCCGCGACCGAGCAAGAGGGCTGTCTCTCTCGCGGGGGTTTAATCTGCGCGCGGGCGTCATTTCATGCGCGTGTAAAACTGAGGTTACCTACTGTAACCCCAGTTTCTATGAGTAAATGGCGCAGCCCTCTAAGGCTATCGCTATTGGGTTATCCCTCTGCGCCCCCGCGCAGCATTGAAACACTTGTAGTCCACGCCCACCCGCCAGGTGGGCCCCACCCTCGGGCCTCCTTCCGGTATAAATAGGAAGGGGGCCCGGCAATCTGCTCCCATACAAAATAACTTTTCTTCAGCTATTCGTAGAGCCAGTGGGGCCCCGCACTTAGAGGGCTGCGCCATTTACTAGAATCTGGGGTTACAGATAGGTAACCTCAGTTCTATTTCGTATATGGCTTCGCCCTCTAAGGCTATCGCTATTGGGTTAAGGACGAAGCATGATGTAGTCTGTGCCTCACTGGGTCCGCCCGGCACAATAACACCCCCTGCCTGTTGTGCCATGCGTAATGGCGCATCACCGTCCCTGGAACATAGCAAAACATGCCTATATCTTCCCGACGGGGTGAAGGCTGGGAACAATACATACCGGCCGCTGTGAGAAAGTAGAGACGAAGGTCCCACCTTGCCCAGCGATCATAGAGGGGGAACAGCAGCTCTCTGCGTGTCAGACAGGTAGGAGAGCGCACAGCTGGATCCCTGACGTCACTCACTCTGACCAGACACTCCGTACAAAGTGTGTCAGAGGAAAAAGGAACATCCTTCCTATAAGAGGGAAAAGGGCCGCTCTCCGCGTGCCGAGAGGCAGGAGAGAGGCGCACAGCTGGATCCCTGACGTCACTCACTCCGACAGGACACCCAGTACAGGGTGTGTCAGAGAGGAAAGGGAGACATCCCTCAAATAAAAATGAATACATGAACAGGGGGAAGACCAAGATGCAGCAGTGCAAATATCTTCCACTGACATTCCTCCGTGCAAAGCCGTGGAGGAGGAAATTCCTCTGGTGGAGTGCGCATTAATGTTCTCCGGGGGCTCCACCCCAGAGGAGACATATGCCTGCGACACAGCCTCACACAGCCAGTGTGACAGCCGTTGTGCAGACAGAGGTTGCCCGATCGAGCGCTCTAGTGCACAAACAGGCGCTGAGAACGGCGCCAGGCCGCCGTGCGCGCCACATAGCAAGACAACGCGCGCACAGGACAGAGGAGATGAGACGTGGCTTCTCCCTCTGACCTGTGAGGAGGGGGAAAGAAGCCAGCCAGGGTGATCACTCTTGACCTAAAAGAGTTGTGATGACCTTAGGCATGAAGCCGGGTTAGGGCGTAAAACAGCTGAACTGCCATCTCCTTGGATCCGGAGACATGACGGAGCCACAGAGAGAGCAGACAAATCACTCACCCTTTTCTCTGATAGAGCCAAAAGCAGTACTACTTTGGCTGAATACAGTTTAAGGGGAACCTGATCAGGTTCAAATGGGGCTTTGCTTCAGTGCGCATAACACCAACGCCAAATCCCACTGAGGCGCCAGTGTGCGTGACACAGGTCTGAGTCTCCATACTCCTCGCATACAACGGCTGCTGCGTTCTGCGAGCCCCTCTGTTAAATTCGCCGGGAATATACATTGCTCTGATGGAGAGTATGGAACGCCCTTTGCGCCACAATTTGCGCGTTTATTCGCGCGGATTAACGGGGAGGTCCGTTTATTCGCGCGAAACTACGCGCGAATAAATGGGGAGGTCCGTTTTATAAACGGGGAGGTCCGTTTAAGTTCAAAGTCTCAGTAACCAATCAGTGAAGAGCAAAACCAGACCAAAGCAATCTGTAGATGAAAAGTTTCTGACATTGTGAGGCTGTAAATTGTACGTTATTCCAGATTCAGGGGACTATGTATTAATTTGGCTTTCAATATAATAAATATATCAATCAATATAACCTGCCTTCATTGTCTTTTAAAATAAAATCGCCTTACCTTATCTTACTGAAGGGTATTTATGTCTCCTTAAATCACCTTTTAAATGTACTTCTTATAACATGGCATGGTGTAACATATCAAAATGTTCAGTCTCTGGTCTTGCTAGAAATGCAATGTCACTCACCTTAGAGTACTGTGAGATACTTAGCTTAGAAATCAGATTTTTGGAATAAAATCGCCTTACCTTATCTTACTGAAGTGAAGGGTATTTATGTGTCCTTAAATCACCTTTTAAATGTACTTCTTATAACATGGCATGGTGTAAGATATCAAAAATGTTCAGTCTCTGGTCTTGCTAGAAATGCAATGTCACTCACCTTAGACTTAGAGTACTGTCTTATGTGATACTTAGCTTAGAAATCAGATTTTTGGAAAACTTAAAAATTCTTGTGAAAACACAGATGTACTCATGTCATCCATTTTTTTTGGTGTTTCAGATGTGGTTTACCAACGTTTTTGGTTCACAAAAGTAGTGAAATATATGAATTACAC